TATATATATATATATATTTTTTTTTTGAAGATTCAAAAATAAAAAGGACAACTAGATATAATGACAAAACAATAACTACACATGACTTTTAAGACATAAGCATTTACATAGATTTCAAAAGAAAAACTCATATGCACCATGTGAATCTTCTATCAAGCTCCATACACCATATTACACATCAAAATATAAAGGAAAGCTCATAGAAAAAGAATCCTAAGGTCATACAAAGTAGAACTAAAAAAAATTGAACCAAACTTTTTTCAAGACATTTTAGATTATCATATAGCATATAAAATTTAGATCTAAGCAAGAAAAAGTAGACAAGACATGTAAGAATACTTAAACAACAAGAAAAAGTATAGAAAAAAACATCCATGGATGAACTAAGCTCCGATACCAAATATGATGAAACTAGTGGAGGAGATGCTTGTTGTTTCTCTACTACTAGCTTCATTGAAGCTTTTAATCTTCATCCATAGAACTTAAACCTTCAAAGAGAGACTGAAAATGGTGGAGGGACAAGGAATAAGGTGCACCACTTCAAGGTGAAGATTAGCAAGAGATGGAGAACTTGTCACAAGGAGGAATAAAGTTCGTAAGGAGTAGATTCTCCTAAGAGAGAACTAAACCTTTTGAAAGAGAAAATTGAAACTCAATTTTATTCATCAACTCAAAAGTGTCGTGTACATGTGAGGATGAAGATATATATATAGGGTTTGGTAACTTATGGTGCAAGTTAAGCTAACTATGGTTACATATAACTGAGATTAGGTTAACTTGTACTCAATACTACTAACTTTAGTTACAATTTAATTTTTTATTTTCCTTCTTGAAAATGTCACTATCCTAGATCTGAAAGAGTCAATAGAAGTTTTTCACATGGCAAGGTGCAAGGTGTGACTCATGTCAACATCCTAGATATCTAGAAGAGTCAATGAGGGCTTGTCAGATGGCAAGGTGTCAAAGGTGTAACTAGACAAGTGTTGGAGGCTTGAATGGACCATGAGGTACCTTGTCCTTCTCAAGTAACTCACATGGACCATACATCCAAGTGGTGCTCTTATGGGCCAATTAAGTCCAATAAGACCATATCTCATTTTCTAGTTACACCCCTTTAAAATACTGTATACACCTTTAAAAATAAAAAAAATACAAGGAAATAAATTCCTACACTATTTGACGCAAAAATACAAGGTCAAAAATAAGAAAATATTTACAAAAAAAAACATTTACAAAGAAGAGAAAGTAAGTTATTAAAAAAGAACCAAAGCTTAATAAGAACTTTGGTCTTTTTCCTTTAAGCCTAACTCACTCTTTTTGGCTCATTTAGGACTTGGTCCCTTGATATGATGTCATCAACTCTAACATAGTGAAGATACCTTATGTCTTGAATATATTTTGAGGCACATTCTTTTCCCTTATAGATCAAATCTTGCACACATGGTCTTTTAGGAACACCAATCATAAAAGGAAAATAGTGATTAGTTCCCTTATAACTAAGCTCAACAGAAGCTCTAGTGTGACAAGCATCTTCTTGTTCAATCTGATGTTGTTTGATAATTTTCATAAAGGAACTATGAAAATGATGCTCTCCATGTAGATCAAATGGGACTTTCAATTACACCTTTTCAATAGTAAGATAAAAAACAAAGCCACACTCTTTCTCTATGATAAAGAGGCAAGTACTCCTAATGATTAAGGTATAATGAATGCATGGGAGGATCATCCACTAAAGTGAAATAAAAGTTGTCTTCTTCGTCTCTTATCTCTTCCAACAATTTTTCATACTTCTTAGAGAAGTTATTTGTTTCCTCTTAGAGTTCGCTACGTGTGATTCAAGATGCATAATATTTAGGATTTCTTGGGTTAGGTACCACCAATGATGTATACACATTTAATGGTTCAATATCAATTGCATCAAGGTCTACAAAAGGTGAAATTTCATTTATTGATCTAAGAATTGCTTCAACGATCTCTTCAACATTCATCAAGACTAAGGGAGCTTGGAGTTAAGGAATAGGAGTAGGAAGCTCCTAAGAAGTTGCTTCGATTAGTTACTCTGACTATGTCAGCTCTTGAAGGGTTTTAGTAATATAGGCTACCAATACAAACCAAATGATGGCTTATTCTTTGGTTATAAGAGTTGTCCTTTTCTCCTTCCTTTGATGTTTCTCTTTCAAAGATAGATGTTATGCTTTTTTTAGACTCAATACTTCCTAACACTTGGTCTTAAGTATAGAAAGGTTGTGCACCAATTTTCCTTTTTTTTACATGAGGTTGTTAGGGTTCCTCTCAAATGGTTTCAATGAGGGAGTAAAAATGGTATGTTAGTGGCTAAGGTGGAAGGATAAGAGGTTGTCATGAGTTAGAAGATGAGTCAAACATAGTGATTGATGGAGGTGTATGGGTAGGTTTTGGTGATTTTGAGGGTGCTTTTTTATTTTCAAATTTAGGGTTTATGGTTAAGGTGGAAGGATAAGAGCTTGTCATCAGTTAGAAGATGAGTCAAACTAGTGATTGAAGGAGGTGTATGGGTAGTTTTTGGTGATTTTGAGGGTGATTTTATTTTCAAAAGGGTGGTAAGGCTAGTGTTTAGGTTGATCTAGGCTATGGTGGTTGGAAATCTAGTTGAAGGGTTAGGGCTTAAACTGTTTGGGAAAAGGGTTGGCCGATTTGGTTTGTCTGCTAATAACTATAGGCTTTTTAGTTATTGGTTCTTCATTTTGCTTTGTTTTCACCTTCACATATTTTCTCTTATAGTTAGGAAGAAGGTGGACAATGTCCATCTGATGCATGGTGGTGAGATTAATCTCTTCACCCCTTTGCCTTCTTCTAGATTTTTTGCATTGATGCCAACAATCTCAATCACTTTGGTGAAGAGCATCTCATAAGAAATGGATACCCTCTTACTTCTTTCCCAGTCTCACATGCTCAAGCAAGACTTCAAGTGGTAGAAGATGAGGTTGGGTTGGTTCACAACAACACCCAAGAAAATGCGATAAATGCAAAAATGATTTACAGCAAAGACATTATCCAATATATAGGGATGAAGTGTAATAGTAGATTGTGCAACAAATTGCACAACGAATTATGTTGGTAGAGCGAGCTTCCTCTAAGGGATAAAACATAGTCTATACTATTTCTTCGGTGATATGAATTTCCCATTTATCTTTTTAGATGACACCTTCTTCTTTGTAGTTAGAGAGGGTGACTATTAGAGAGGGAGTAATTCTTAGCTCCTTGTTCTAAGTGGCTCCAACAATGGCATCACCTTTGTCTATTACGCTTTCTTAAAAATATGCATATGGTGTGTGAAACCATTTACACTTCATCTCTGTGAAACTTGACCATCCAACTTGATCCAAATAATGCTTCATTGGAAAAAGAGCTTTTATCGTATCCATGTATTTTCTAGGTAAGAAAAGAATCTTCAGGGGAATTCTTCCATTGGGAACTTTTGTTCAATAAGCAATTATCTTAGGGGTCATTGTAGAGAAAAAAAAAGGGTTAAAGGGCTCTAAATATTTTTGTGATAAAAGAATAAGTTTGATAAATATTTTTTTTTCTTGAAAATGCTGAGTTTTTAGTAGAAAATAATTTGAAGGGAGGTGTGAGGTTGAGTTGACGTGGAGAAAGAAAAGCAAAAACAATAAATGTTGATGCACATCACTATTACTTGTGCATGTTTATCCAAGAACTCTTACATAATCATGCTAATAATAATTTTCGAGACAAGGTAATAATAATTTCTATGGAACATTTTGTTGTCATTTGAATATATATGCAATTGTTTGTTACAACTTAATAGCTATTAAAGAAATGTAAATTGTGTAAAAAGAAATGGGGTAATCTTGTTCATTATTAATATAGATATAATTAAGGATACCAATAGGTCATACTTTAAATAGGAGAAATCTATAATCTGATTTATTTAAAATTTGACTTATTTAATAAAAAGATCAAGTTTAGACTTTTAAAAAAGTCTATTTGTTTCAAAATGATGGACTTAAGTTATAAAGTAAAATCTTTAGACCTAATAAACTAACCTATTTAACTATATAATTAATAAAAATTAATATATATATATATATATACATATATATTATTTTTTTTTGTCTATGAATATTGTCTATGCAGTTTCCCAAAACTAACAACTAAGGAATAATATACATCTTACATTATTTAACAATATAATTAAATAAATAATTTTGTAATTAAAAAAAATGAAATTATCTATTTTTAGCATTTTTACTGTACTTAAACATTTTAGATTCTCTATTTGTATGAAAACAAAATATAAACAATAGAAATTATTACAATGTTACGTGTTTCTTTTTCATCCTCATGGTTATTTAAAATTATTCCAAATGAAATATAGAAGATATTTTTAATTTTTTTTATAAGATTATTTTTTTGAGTTAATCACCTATACACTGTCAGTGTAAAGTTTTTTTACACGGACAACTAATTATATCCTTTAATTGTGTCATGTCACTGTTAAAAGTAATTGTGTTTACAGTGACATGACACAATTAAAGAATATAATTGATTGTCAGTGTAAAAAAACTTTATACTGGCAGTGTATAGGTGATTAACTCTATTTTTTATTTATCACAGTTTATGTGTAAGTGTATATAAATATGTGTGAGTTATTTATTTTAAGCTAATTTTTTTAAATCTATCTTTTAATACTAATGAAGTAAATTGTTTTTTTATCACAATTTAAAAATAAGACTCCTAAGTGTATTTAAAAATAGCATTGGTGACTTATTTAAAATCATGTTCATTAGCCTGTAAATTAAGTTTTTAAATAAACTAATAAATTAGACTAGGCTTTTAAAAATGTTATGTCATATCTAAATTTTAATTTTATAGAATAGATTTGATTCATATATTCAAAGTCTAATTTAATTTGACCTATCGCCATCTCTAGATATAATATTATTATTTGATTTAATAATTTTTTATTTCTCATTTAACATTAATCAAATTTATTTAATATTAATTAATAAAGATAAATTTTATCTAATAAATACATAACATAAAATAATTAATATAATATTACTATATTTATTATTTAATATACTATTTATTATTTAATATATTCTTACACAATAAATATTATAAATTTCTTAATATTAAAGAGATAATATAACGTTATTAATTTATTAAAAAAGAGAAAACAACGTTTATTAAAAAAAAAAGAGAGAGAAAACAAAGTTAAAGAGAAAATAAAAGATAAAAGATATTACAATTTATTATATAAAAATATATAAATAATAAAATATATAATTAATTTAACAAAAAATAATATTTTTATTGCATATGATAATAAGAAAATATGTATTACAACATTCTTTTATTATATTATATTTTATGTTATTTTAATTATTATAAAGTAAGTAATTTTTAATTATGCATATTAAAATAATTTATTGACCTATTTAAAAATATTTTGTTAATTTATCTAAAACTATTTTTATTGTCTTATTTAACTCTATTAATAAAAGAGTTAATCAGCTATACACTGTCAGTGTAAAGTTTTTTACACTAGCAACCAATTATATCTTTTAATTGTGACATGTTACTATAAACACATTTACTTTTAATAGTGACATAACACAATTAAAATATATAATTGGTTATCAGTGTAAAAAAACTTTATACTAATAGTGTATAAGTGATTAACTCTTAATAAAAATAGGATAATAGGTTAAGTGAGTCTTTTAAAAAGGTTAAACAAAGTCTAAAAAAATTTATGATAAATAATAAGTTAGAATTAAACCTTAATTTTATAAAACAAACTATACTTATATTTTCAAAATTTAATCTAAACTGACTTATTTTCATCTTTATTCTAAACACGTTAAAGATTAATTCTATTCGTAGTACTAATTATCATTGATAAAAAAAAAAAAATCTGATATGAAATTCACCACTAAATGCATGCCCTTTAAATTATTTAAATTATACATATAAAAAGTTTATACATTTTAAAGGAAAATAATTTGTGAGCATAATCCTTCTTACTCTTAAGAAACTCCTTTCGCTTTTAAGAAATTTCGCTACTATCTATAACTATAAGAGAGTCAGAGTACCTAACTATTACACTAATATGTTTTTTTTTTCCAGAGTCTATTATAATATAACAAATTGTACTTTTACTTAACTTTTATGCTAAAATGTTAACAAAAATTTCAAAATCTATTATGATATAATAAATTATGCTTTTTTCTATTTTTTATTTTTACTTTATTTATTTTTTGTATTTTGTTTATAACTAAACACATTTAGTTTTGTTTTAATTTCTTATCTATTTTAATTTTTTTTTATCTCATATAAAAATATAAAGTAATAAAAATTAAACCTAGTTCATCATATTTCTAATTTTTTATCTCCCATTCAATCATTATTATGTTAATCCTAATTGTTCCTTCTATTCTACTCAGACTATTATGAGTTATTAATCCAACAAGTTAATTTTGTTTTGTTTTCTCTATTTCTATTATCTTCCTTTTAATTTGCATGAAATCTATTTCTAACCTATTTGACTAATTGTGAAAGAAACGGTAAAAGTAAAAGCAAAAGAGTGTTTTGTGTGGTGTGAGCATTGTGACAGTGACTGAGGTCCTTGAGCAGTAGATCGACAGCACGAAGTGGGAATTCAATAATGAATAATACGCGTTTGTGTTGTGAGAGAGAGATTAAAGATATCTTCTTTCATCTTCCACCACCTTCTTTTCTCCATCTCTCGCTTTTCAACCTTTCCCTTATCTCTCTCACATTTTTTTATTTTCTCCCTCTGCTGGCAAGACCAATTCTTTGGATCTTCGATTTGATCTCTTTCTTTTTTTAACCACCAATCTATCTTCTGGGTTTGTTCTTCACTCCCTCCTCACATGTGGGGTTTTATTCTCTGCCTCCTAAACCAAGGCAAATGTTGATTTCTTTCTATTTTTTAATGATCTGTGTCCGTGATTTCGGGTTGCCCTTGGAGTCTGCAAAAGTCCAGCCTTTTCAGTTTTCTCTGTCAAACAATCTCTTGGGGTCGTCCACCTTCTTCCCCTGATGCCATGTAACTGATTCTTGCTCCATTTCACTTAAGGGTCTTTTTCTTTTACTTGATTGGTGTGTGTAAGGCTGAGAATGGCACTTTCCCAGTGCTGAGTGTTGTTGCTACTTGCTAGATAGTTCCACATCTTAGAAAAGTTAAATGGGATCTTGCAATGAGGTTCACTCAGTTGGGGAGTTCAATTTAGATTCCAAGTGGCTTGTGGATCCCAAACAGCTATTTGTTGGTCCAAAAATTGGGGAGGGTGCTCATGCCAAAGTGTATGAAGGAAAGTAAGTCAAACCTATTTCATTGTGTATTTTTGGATTCCATATTTGGAATCAATTTTGGTTTTTGAATCTTCTTGTTCTAAAAATTTCTCATTTTTTTTTTGTATAAGATTTGTTACAAACTTTATTTTGATTTCTATGTTGGCACTAATCTGCTTCACCTTTCATCTAAATTGACATCCAATCTCACATTTACAGTTTGCACATAATCTGTTTGGACAAATAAACATAAATTATATTTGCTGACTGGTTGAATTGCTATTGCTATTGTTGATTTTCTGATTGCAGATATAAAAATCAAAATGTTGCTGTTAAGATTATCAACAAGGGAGAAACTCCGGAAGAGATTTCAAGGAGAGAGGGTCGGTTTCTCAGAGAGGTTGATATGTTGTCGAGAGTTCAACACAAGAATCTTGTTAAGGTTGTATTATACGAGAAAAGGAACAGTGTTTTTTCTTTTTTTAAATCTAGTTAGATATATACTCTAATCGGAATTGGCAATAGGTGTGATTGTATTTAGTGGTACTTAAATCATGTTGGTATTGATGAACTGGGAAGATGTGTCTCATTAAAGGTTCTATTTTGGTTTGATGCCAGTTTATTGGGGCTTGCAAAGAACCTGTAATGGTTATAGTAACTGAGCTTCTATTAGGTGGAACATTGCGCAAATATCTCTTGAATATGCGGCCAAAGTGCTTGGATATGCCTGTGGCTGTTGGATTTGCTCTTGATATTGCCAGAGCAATGGAATGTTTACACTCCCATGGGATCATTCACCGTGATCTTAAACCCGGTATGCCCACACGAATTTTGTACTTACTGGTTTTTGTTAAGACTTAGCTGGTAGCACTTAGTGGAAAACTTTGTTACTTGTAGATTTGTGGAATTTTGCATCCTGCATGAGTTGCTTCTTTCCTCTATAAATACTTTATTAGTTAGACCTTTCAAGCAAATAGGAAAGAGGCACCTTTTCTTCGTTGGTCACTACACTATCTAATTTGGGTACAATTGATTTTGATATATCTAACTTTGAGCTGTTGAACGTATTTGGGATGTTTATTCAACTGAATCTCAGTCATTCATTTACATTTTAATGTGTTTTGCATTTGAAAGTGTGAATAAAATATTATCCTTGTGTGAATGTAAAAGTAATTATACCTTGAAAAATGGCTTTGTTATTGTTAATGGGATTTACAATGACCCATTATACACAACTAGGCTTTACTCTAGGAGTCAATCTGTTGTAAATTTATGTAAAATAGTTCATTGTCCCTTTGTACAGTCCATTTTTGGGTCAAACTGTCGTTGCTATCCCTTGAAAGGCCATATTTCTGTACTAAACATTCTTAGCCATCAAGTTTCAGTTGAGATGATCGCAAATATGTTATATATGAAACGAAGCTTCTGACTAGCATACAATTGATAATACAATTAAGCAGTGTCTGTTCTATATATCAAAGGCCAAGCATAATTCCGATAACTTGCTTCTTCTTTCATTTACAGATAACTTGATCTTGACAGCTGATCACAAGACAGTTAAACTTGCTGATTTTGGTCTGGCCAGAGAAGAGTCCTTAACAGAGATGATGACTGCTGAAACTGGAACATATCGTTGGATGGCTCCAGAAGTATTTCTTAATTACTTTATACTTTGAACATATGTCTATCTTTCAGTTCTGTGTTAGGTAATTTATCATTATTTTCTTGTTTGGTGGCAGCTTTACAGCACTGTTACTCTAAGACAAGGTGAGAAGAAGCATTACAATCACAAGGTGGATGCCTACAGCTTTGCAATTGTGCTGTGGGAACTCATTCATAATAAGTTACCCTTTGAAGGCATGTCTAATCTGCAGGCTGCATATGCAGCTGCTTTTAAGGTAGATTTTATTTGGATGCTTACTTGATAATACTTCTGATTAAAGCCATCATACTAGCGCAGTTTATGACCCTTGTAAGTTGAAAATGCGAGAATATTCATTTAACCGTGATCATTTGCATATATGCATTTTTTTTTGTTATGATCAGACTTCAGAAAAGGACCATTTTACAAACTGCACATGTTGATAAGCTTATATGACTTCAATTTTTCATGAGAATTGGTGAAAGAAAGGTAAAAATGAAAATAAATAAAGAATCGTTGAATCATATGACTTGTATTGATGATACAAAATTGCATAGATTCATTCATGTATTGTAAGATACAAAGTCATTTTAGATTCATCTTATGATACATATCGGTAGGTTGCTGAATTGTAAGATTTGAACTGTAAATTGTAATTCTGATAACTATGCTTTCATATAACTTTTATATGACTGATCATAATTTTATTTTTTTATGACTTTGACTATGATTCATGACATAATTTCTTGATTGTTCCAGAATACAAGGCCCAGTGCTGAAGACCTTCCTGAGGATTTGGCTATGATTGTAACTTCATGTTGGAAAGAGGATCCGAATGATCGACCAAATTTCAGTCAAATCATACAGATGCTCCTTCGATATCTCTCAACTATTTCACCACTCGAGCCAGTTGTTCCTCTGCGGATGAATTCATCTGAGAATGCTGTGTTGCCACCGGAGTCTCCTGGCACAAGTGCATTGATGCTTGGAAGAGATGATTCTGGAGAAACCCCAACAGCCATAGGGGAAGACAGGTCCAAAGGGTTCTTCTCCTGCTTTAACCAGTGTTACTGAGGCCTCAAAACACATCATTTGTTTGTTGGGGCTGTCCCAGAACACAGTTAGAAAAACTGAATAAAACCACATTCACCAATTGTAACAACTAGAATCTTTTAATAAGAAAATGTTAACAACTATTATCAGATAGTCAGTTTAGTAGCAATTAGCACAGCTAAGAAAGCACCTTTGTTCTCAGCAAGAGTAGCTGGCAAGCTCTTTTTAACATTTGTGTTGACTTTCTTTTGACTGATATGCAGGAAATTTTGGGGTTAAGGTTGCTGAGATGTAATATCATTGTAAAGTAAGGTTCATCCAAAGGCCTTTACCTGTTTCTTGTTCATGTATGTGGCATGAATAATAAAAAGTGAAAAGGGGGAAAATGTTTACATTGGCTTTTACGTGTTCCATAATGAAACCTTGTTTCACTGCCAATTTGACATGCCCTTTTATTTATCTGTTTGCAATGAACACGAAAGTTAGGTAACTCTCTTTTTTCAACAATCCAATAAGTTTCAATCAATGAAAAAAGTGTCAATAAAAAGGGTCAATAACGTTTCTCGTTTAGTAGCATTATCATAGCCAGGATTTTTTTTTCCCCTTTCGTCACTATAATAGAAAGGTCACTGATATTTTAGATATGAATAGAATTGATTTATTTTGAACTGTTCAATATAATTAAATGTGTATCTAAATTAATTTTAGCCGAAGTTTAAGATTAAAGTGTGTAATAATGGGAGAAAATGATAATAGTATTTTTTTTTAAAAATTATTGCTCAACTACATTTTAATAAATGAAAGTATAAAAGTGTGTTATTGCTCACATACATTTTAATAGATGTATATACACTGATTATTATTGTATTTTTTTTACATCGTGATTATTATTGTTATACATCTATTTTCCTTTTTTTCTTTTTATTTAAAATTCCTTTTTTATCTATACCAAAAAAAATTCCTTTATTTATCACATTTATTATTTTTCTCTATCTGTTATTTTCACTCACAATAAAAAAAATGGGATGTATGTTTAACATTTATAAAACAAAAAATGTCGCACAAGCAATCCGTTAACAAATTCGAATAGTTAACAGTACTTTGGTTTCAAATTAGAATTTTCTTTAAATGTATGGAGTATATAAATTTTTATTCTAAATAATTATATAATTAAAAATTATTGATAATAATATTTTAAAAAGAATATTTACAATACCTTCTTTTCTCTTGCTACGAATATCTTTTAATGCACTAAGTCAGACTAATTCCACTCATGAAATTACTACTAATTTGAAGGATTTTTTTTTTGTACCGTGATGGATTTATAATTACTTAACCTTGTTCTCATAAACAAAAATTCAAAACTAGGTCCTTCTCATATAATTCAAGTTTTTAAATTAGTTTGGTCATTTTTATAATACTCAATCTAGTATTATGTAGCATTATTATTTTTTATATAAAATATTTTTATGAAATGTATTTATTGATTACAAAAAATAAGTTAAACTCATTTAATTTATGTCTTAATACAAAGTCTTTTTTTTATAATTAATTTTTTTTAGAAACATACATTAAACTAGTATTTTAGCTTATACAATGTATATACATTTATTATATATACTTAAAATTTATAAAAAAAAAATTATATATACATATAAATAAATATTATGTTTGAATATATAAAATATTTTTAAAATTTATATAAATAAATATTTTTAAACATCAAAATCATATTTTATATTTATGATAAATAATTTATTTTATAACATAAAATTATTTTTATTTATTGAATTTATTTTAACATATTAGTATTTAATTTATAAATAATTATTATACATAAAAATCGAATTAAATAACATGTTAAAAGAATATAAACCCTCTCTTTAAATAAAACCTCTTAAAAACATCTTATATGAGATAATAATTTATTTGTGTTTGATATATAAAAATTAATGTCTCATTAATTTAGAGATAATTTTAAAAAAAAAAATTAAGACATATTTATTGATGTTAATAACAAAAGCTAGCATTTCTTAATCTTGATGCATTAATTATTTACTCTTTCCATTGCATTGTGTTTGACGATAAGATTTTGTTACATAAATTAATAAAGAGTTAATCATTCATACACTGTCAGTGTAAAGTTTTTTATATTAGCCACCAATCATATCTTTTAAATTATTTTATTTTTCTTTTATTTGATTAAATGAACAAATAACATGACACTATTAAGAGATATGATTGGTTGCTAGTGCAAAAAATTTACTCTGACAATGTATAGGTGATTAACTCATTAATAAATATAGTTAATATGTATTAAAAATAAACTATGTAACTTCTCAATAAACCTTAAAATATTTTAAATTTTCACCGATTATTAAATGATGTATTAACAATACTTAAGAATATATCTAACACTATAAAACAACAATTAAATTAAAATAAACCAAATTTATCAAGCGTGAATATTTTTTAAATTAAGGACGGTAGTGATTAGTTAACCCGTAAAACTTTTGACATTAATATCAAAATTAAACACTTGTATTGATTAGTTAATCTTGAAAAACTTTGACATTGATATCAAAATTAAACTCCTCAAACTACTATTAACTATGTATCATTTATTTCAGGGATTTTTAATTTGAAATAGTACAGAATGTATTCACCACTCCACTGTAATGGCATCGCTGTTAGTTATTGACACGGTCCCCCACATCTTAACAACTGTACTTGGACAACAATTTCTAAGTAATTTTATTTCAACTATATAAACCTCCAATTTTTCTTTAATGGGTATAAACCCCCAATTTAATTCTTAAATTTTTGAGACAAAGTCACAAGAATGTTTAAAAAACCAGGTCAGACCGGCCGGTCGGACCGGTTGAACCGGGAATCGGTGGTTTAGCTAGTTTGAATATTGAGTTGGATCAATTATGCATTCGACTCGTTTCAAATTAGAAAGAACTGGTCAGTTTTCCGGTTCAACCAATGAATCGGTGTGTCAAATCAGTAAGTCGAACCGGTTCAACAAAAAAAATTTAACATAATTTTTTATGTATTTTTATATTGGGGTGACCAATGTCAGGGCAGTGTTCATGGATTACATGAATAGAATCTTCCGGCCTTTCCTGGATAAATTTGTGGTGGTGTTCATTGACGACATCTTTATTTATTGAAGAACCCTGGATTGTGCCAATAGGGAGTTGGTATTTCCTCAGTTACAGGATGAATTGTTGGTGTGAGCTAGTTAAGTTGAAGTTTTGTTGAAGGATGGAGCAAAGTGTTGTATGTCGTTTATTGTTGGGAATGTGGAAAACGAGAAGATTATTGGTGAAATTGAAGTGGTAAGGAAAGCTAGATTGTATGTTGTTTGGTTATATGTGAGTTTAGGAACTCATATGGAGTAAGAATGTTGAGAATCCATAGTTGGATTGGAGAAATTGTTCATTTGGAGTTTTGATGATTTCGATGCGTTTGATGAATGCATGTTGAATTTGACTTTGTTTTTTAGTTGAGTTGTAGTGAGCCTATGCAGTGTTTTTTCTTCTTTGTTGCATGTGGCTGGTCTTACCTGATTTTCAGGTTTCACTACTAGAATTTGTCTTATTACATGCGACTTTTCCTGCGAATTTTTCATAAAATTTCGCAAGAAACGTTGTTCCTGCAAATTTTTCTGCGAAATTTTATCTGCAGGTAATACCTTTGTGGATAATATTTTTTTGCGAATTTTAAAATTTGTAGGAGATTTTCCTGCGAAATTTCTTGCGAAAAAAATTCGCAGGAAACTTTCCTGCAAAAAAAATTTGCAGGAAAGTTTCCTGCAAAAAAAATTCGTAGGAAAATTCGCAGGAAAGTTTCTTGCAAATTTTTTCGCAAGAAATTTTGCAGGAATAATTTTTATGAAAAAAATTAAAAAAATTACTATAAATTCTATCAATAATTTTTCAACTTTCAAATGCTCACAATGAATTCATCCAAAGAATTTGTTTCCATGCCTCCAACATGTGAATGTGATACATAATCTTTTAAATTCTAAGATTGTAGATTATAAGCCTAACACTCAACCATATAAATCAACTTGTAAGGTAAGTGTTCCCCCAACTTATATACTCTTTAATTGCTTTATTTTCAATCGATGTGGGACTTGAAGTTTTTTTAAAATATTAAAATTATAAATTTAAATATATTTTTTTAATTTTTCCTGCGGATTAAAATTTGCAGGAAAATTTGCAGGAAAAGTTACCTGCAAAATTTTTCAACTATTTAGTAAACATTACTTGCGAATTTATTTTTGCAAGAAAATTTGCAAGAAACAAAATAAAATTCTTACAATATTTTCTGCAAATTTTTACCATGGAAAAAAAATTTCTGATTATTAAAATTGTAGCAAAATTTGTAAGAAATATCTGTAAATTATTTTTCGCAAATAAATTCGCAAAAAATTTCTGTGAATATTTTTTTACAAGAAAATTCGCAAAAAAATTTCTAAAAATATTTTTTTGCAAGAAAATTCAAAAAAATTTCTGCGAATATATTTTTGCAAGAAAATTTGCAAGAAAATGACACTTTTCTAGTAGTGTTTGGAGTACGTCGGGCACAAGGTGGGTGCTCTAGGCGTGGAGACTCTTATGAGTTTCTGTTCCAAGGACGTCGAGCGCGAGCTGAGCGCACCGAGCGTAAATGAGTTTTAGAACTCTCGGGTTAGGATTAGGTCGGACGCACTCAGGCTGTGCCGGACATGAACATGTTTATTTATGATAGTTGAAAAGATGCTTAGGCATGTATTGAAAGATGAAGATTTGATCATGTATGTATGATATATGATGTGTGGTGATGCCTGATTCATGTATATGCTTGGTAATGATATGTATGAATGTTTAAATACGATATGACATGTGTATATGTTTATATGAGGATGATTATCGATCATAATGGTGGATAGACCATGTATGATGTGTGATGCATAATTGCATGTGATGCTTTATGGCATGAGTCTAGCCTAGGACTTAAGGAGATGGAAAATGTTTTCGAACTAGAAGAGCTCACATAGAGTCTCATGAGAGTGGTGCTTAGATAGGCCACTGGATTTGGATGAGAGTGGTGCTCAGGTAGGCCACTAGGTTGGGTGAGTCTCCTCTAAGTCCTTAGCTAGTGTTAGAGCAGAGTTTGAGGTCGAGTGTATCTCCATGGGATGCTCCTGTGTTATTGGTGGAAACAAAGATGGAGGTAGCCGGTTGTGTGTAGATTGTAGACAGTTGAATAAACTGACTATCAAGAACAGATATCTGTTTCCTAGAATAGATGACTTGATGGATCAGCTTAAAGGAGCATCGGTATTTTTGAAGATTGACTTAAGGTTAGGATATCATCAGATCAGGGTGAAGGAGGGTGACATACCTAAGAGTGCATTTAGGATTAGGTATGGTCACTATGAGTACATTGTGATGCCGTGTGGGGTGACCAATGTCAGGGCAGTGTTCATGGATTACATGAATAGAATCTTCCGGCCTTTCCTGGATAAATTTGTGGTGGTGTTCATTGACGACATCTTTATTTATTGAAGAACCCTGGAGGAACATGGAGAGCACTTGAGGTTGGTGTTGGAAATAACATAAATATTTTTTAAAAAAAATTAATAAAAATTGAGTTATAAATTTAATTAGTGATCTACCAGTTTAATTTTTGATTTACTAACCTAATATCCTGACCGGTTCGATTTTTAAAACTATCATCGCTACATATATGAAATTAGAAAAAAAAAAAGTTATAAAAATGAAAATTGTGTTTTTACGAAATAATTATTGAAAATGACAAGTTTAGAGTGATTTTATTACGTCATAGATTTGCATGACTTAAAAGAAGAAGCAATGTTGATGACTTGGGAAGCAAGGTAGAGACGCAGGTAATTTACCATTATGTGCATCTCTTTTCCTCGGTTTTCGGGAAGACAAGACAGTAACTTCCGAACCAAAGCCTCGGAGTCCTCTGGTCAATGCTGGGTCCCACGCCCAAGTTATATCTATCATCCCACACCTTAAATACTCACCACACTAACACTAAAACGCGTTTCTCTCTTGTTTCTCCTTCTTTCGCACTTATGGCTAGGTGAGCTTAGAAGATTGCAATGCAAGTTTCATGTTTTGCCTTCAAACTTTTCCACTTTCATTCTCTTCTTCACGCCCCATTATCGGTTATGCCTTCTTCTTGTGAATTTGCATTCTGGGTTAGTGACTTGGACTCCCTTTGTTGAGTTCATTGAGAAAAAACACTTTTTTTTTCTTTTTCCTTTTCTGGGTGGTTTTTGTTTCGGGAATTTGTGTCAGAGAAGTGTTCCCTGCTCAGTTTTTGTCTCTCGTTTGTTGCTTATTTTGTAAAAAAAAAAAAAAGGTGGAATAAAGTGTTACATCACATGGTTTGATGGTTGAGTTTGGCTTTTGTGGTTGGTTGATGACTTTTGATGGTACTGTTTTGATGTATGATGATGGATGGACGGCGGCGTGTATTGGATTTTTCCTCATTTATGAGTAATGTGACATTTTCACTTGGAGTTTCGTGTGTACTGCTTAAATCGGAAATACTTGCAGCTTCTTTTTTACTGCTGTGGGGAAGAAACATTTTTGGGGCGCCAAATAATGATTTGTGGCTTTCTAGATGATTGAAATGCAGCAATTTTCATGTGCAGTAGTAGGATTTTTATCTCATATATATTAGTAAGAGCAGTACAGTGTGGCATGGTTCATAGATCATCATGTTCCTTGAATATATAGTTAGGAGTTCGATTCTGAATTCAGTGACATCAGTTGAGACTTCAAAGAGGCTAATGCCGTAAGCTATCTAAGTATATCTAAGGATTGGTCTTTTTGACTCTCGAGTGAAAATATCTTGGTTTCAACAAAAATATGATATAATCTTGCCATAAATTTGGGATGATTTGTTGAGGGGGAAAGTTGCTGTGGTGTTAATTTCTCTATTTAATTTCATAGGCTGGGGAATGAGTTGCTGCTTTCACATAGCTTCTACTTTTTGTTTGGTATGCTAAAGAAATAGGAAAGAAAGAAACAGCTAAACAAGAAAAACAGAAATCCAAAGATAAGAAAATGAAGACAAATAGTGGAAGAGAGAAACATGGATTTGGTGTTCCCAATATGTCTTTAATGCTTTCTGCATGTTTTTCTTCTTTTGACCCCTCTCTGTTTGTCTTGATATCATTGATGTCATGAAACATACTTAGTTCCATCATACAATGAGATGGAATTTCTACTTCTTACTTCATTTTGTAAATAGTAGTTTTAAAAGTTGATTCAGTTGAGTCGTTCTTGATGGTTGACTAACCATGACTTTGCTTTGCAGAAGCTGGCTTATTGACATTGGAGGATTTGCAAAGAAAGTGAAAAACACTACTGTGTCAACAACTGATCAAATCAAGGATTTTGGAACATATCGTAAATGCCCCAAATGTCATTACCATAATGATAACAATGATGTATGAAAAAATTCAACAAATACTCAATCTCAATTCATTTATTAGTCTTCAAATTCACATATACACTAAAATAGAAAAAAACACTGTAATTCTATTAGCAATGAACATGCTCTTATAACAGAGTTCTTGATGTTACCCTGGAGTTTGTACATGCTCCAATTCCTTTAACTTAGACCTTTTCTTTTTTGGCCAATAAAATCATTTCAATTTTGCAAAACTTCACCTTCAAACCAGGATTAAATTCTGGAAACTGTTCAGCGTTCATGATTACTTATGCATGAGTTGATGAGTAAATCGTTGATGTTATGACACATTTATGATTTGTTATGCATGAGAATGTAATATTGACAGTTGTTTTTTTCATCAACACTGAGATTATTTACTTTACCTTTTTGAATGAGTTGTTCACTTAATTGATTGTATATTTTTCGTTTTGCATGTGCAGGTTTCTCATGTGTGGCCTGGCTTTCCTGTTGGCGTAAAGTTTGTTCCTTCTGATGTTCAGCTTTTAGAGCATTTAGCAGCAAAGTGTTGTATCGGAAACAGAAAGCCGCACATCTTTATTCATGATTTCATCCCTACTCTAGAAGGAGATCAAGGAATTTGCTACACACATCCAGAAAATCTTCCAGGTGAGGGTTCTTCTAACCTTTTCAAATATATGAACATTTACCATTCGTTCCACAAAAGAAGCTACTTAAACACTTTCATAATGTGGACTGTGGAGAAACCAAAGATAATAGGAGGTTAAATAGTGCCAACCGAAAACTCACTTTTTCAAGACAGCAAGTAGTATCTAGACTTGAAGAGTGCAAATGAAGAATTATGAGCAAACAACACAAAGTATTTTTATACTGCTTCATCTCAACTATCGAGACTATGTTTGGTTCTTGATCAACCTGATCAAGTTTCACTATCTTTGCAAAGATACAAGTATTCTTTTACAAGCCACTTTGATTCAACCTAAATATTTTTTTTAATTGTCTCTTCAAGTAATTATCCAAGTATTTTTTGAATAACTAAGACTCTTCAGACTTAAACTATCAAGTATTTTTTACAAAGTCTCTTCAAGTTTCAATCTAAAGCACAAAGTTAAAGTTGAAAAATCACAATTGTTTTACCCACAAGACGTGGTACAACAACAATGAAGTTCAAAGCTTTTTATAGAATGAATTTACAATGAATATCTATGTATGAGTCTAGTCTCTATATGCTCATTCTAAATCTTCAAACTTCTTTATATAGGTGTTTGATGAAGATGACCATTATAAATACTTGAGCTTCACTCGTAGGCTTGCTTCATCTTTCTTCGCCTTTTTTCCTTATAAAATAAGATGTTCATCGATACATTAAATGCATTTCACCAAATTGTCACTTTTTATTTTATCAAGGAGACTAATTATCACTTTACGATACAAAACTAGAATAATTGTTGCGTTGTAAGTCAAAAATATTCGCATGCTTCGAGATACTTTCCTCTGACGAAAAATAAATCTGTTTCTTTATGAATTTCAAGTACCAAAGAAATTTTTATTTCTTCGATTTGTTAAAGAATATCGTAGACATAGATGGTTTGATTATTAGATAACATAAATAGTATATTTAATGCATTTGTCTTATACAGACAAAGTGTCACACACACACAAATCATTGAAAGATGATGGTCCCTTGTGCACACACGCATAAAATTCACTGAAAGATGATGGTCCCTTGTGGAAAAGGTTGTGAACTGTGAACAAATTCCATGAAAGATAATATCGATGTTGCACCAGACTTAATGAAATCTCAATCAGCATCTGACACATTCTAGGTCTTAGGAGTCCTAAGTACATAAATTTAGTTGATTTTCTATGTCTATATATGAGATCTTGATGGACCAAAGAAAAAGAAAAGATCAGATCATGATGAACCAAAGAAAAAGAGAAGATATCAGATCATGATGTTTCCCTTTTTTTCCTTTATGGGAGGGAGATTAGGGGAAGCTAGGATTTTATGATCACCAAACTTAACAACTTTAGGATTTATATGGATAAACTTCTCCAAAAACACTATTGGAAGAAAAAATGAAGTTTTTTGATAAGCTAATTTGTAAAAACTCACTCCAAGGAGCTTCTCCACAATCTTATTTTAAACTTGTACGTAAGTTAGTTTTAACTAATGAAAAAACTTATTCCACTTTATATTCCTATTTTTTTTTATTTTATAAATTTTTCTGGAGAAATTTATTCAAATAAATGTAAGTGGTCATTGACCAGTACTGATTATCTTCTAATTTACTTTATACATATTCATTCGCTCTGACCAAATCTGGATTAAATGTGATTTTCTGGTGCAAATTCTTTAATAAAATTAAACCTGTTTTGTTTCAGGTGCTAAGAAAGATGGGAATAGTGTCCATTTCTTTCACAAAACAGTTAATGCATATGCTACTGGACAAAGAAAGCGTCGAAAGATTCATGATGAACGTGGTTTGAATGAGGAGAATGTACGCTGGCACAAGACTGGTAGGACCAAAGCTGTGATAGAAGATGGAGTGCATAAGGGCTTTAAGAAGATCATGGTCCTTTATGTAAGATCCAAGAAAGGGTCCAAGCCATATAAAACCAATTGGGTGATGCATCAGTACCATCTAGGGAGTGAAGAAGATGAGAAGGATGGTGAATATGTGGTTTCAAAAGTTTTTTATCAACAGCACAAGAAGAATGAGGAGAATCCAGTGGTTGAAGATTCTAAGATAGCAGCACAAACAGGTCCAAGAACTCCAATTCCAAATCCCCCTACTCGACCTTGTACAGGCAAATCTGATGACAATTTTGATGAAAATGAACTTCTGCCATTCATCCAGGTGCCTAGTTATTTCTTACACATGCAGCTGTGTATGATGATAAATTTAACTGAGGCTAATCATCTTGTACGGAATATAAATGAATAAAGATATGAGCATGTTTGGACAAACACTTATAGAAGAAAAAATAAAAAGTAAAATAATCAAACTTTTTCCTAAATTAAAATTAACCATGTACCCTAAATTTTGGAAAATTAGATAAAAGAACTCTTACATAAACTTAAATATATTTTTAGTCTCTCAAATTTAGAATAAATTTATTTTTGACTCTCAAATTTAAAATTGATCTTTTTAACTACTGTATTTTAAAAAAAATTGTTTTAATCCCTCAAGGTCAATAGTAACATAAGTGGCAATGACCCTGACAGATAATTATGTAGTGTAGAATGAATTTAATATAATATTTTTATTAACAAAAATATAAATAGGTGAATTTTGTACAAGTTTAGTAATAGACTAATAGGTGAGTTTTATTTAATAGATTTACTAACATTGATCACAGAAACTAAATAAGATTTTTTTCCCTTAAATTATAGATATTAAAAACTTACCTTTTACAAATTTACCTCATATTTAAAGAATTAAAAACATTTAAACCTTTTAAAAAAGTTGAGGTATAAAAATTATATTAATTTAATGAAGAAGTTTAATTTATTTTACTTTCTTATTTCTTTTCTTATATAATTACTTATGAAAAAAATTATTCAAACATCCTCACCAACCATTACATTCTACAAAAACAAGCATAGCATTTAAGAATCCATTTGTATTTCAACTTATTCTTGTGCACAAAACGGACACATCTTGAAAAACTAGTGAACTTATGTTGATTTTATCGCAAGTACTATTGAGAATATTGACAAAGTAAATCAACAATTTTTACTAATTTTTCCAACAATTGCGGTTTTTTCTTCCCTTTTTAATTTGAATTTTTTGAATTAGGATGCCAAGCCTATACCTGGAGGATCACATACACCACCATCTGATGTTCAGGATGAGGACAATAAGCAAGACCCTGCATGCTTGGCTGGTGAACCACAGGCTGACTCTGACTTTGATGGCTTGGATGACATATTGTTATGCAAGGAGATGTTAGGTTCATCTGCTCTCTTTACTGATTCTGAATTGACCTCCACTATTAAAGGAGATTCAATCAAGTTTGTTGCACCTGGAAACAATAATGATCATGCATCTTATGGAATTTCTATCTTGGACACACTGGAATTGGATTCTCCTCCAGATTTTGATCTTTCTGTAAGCATCAACTTACCCTCTTGGAGTTCTCCAATAAATTGTTAACATCCTCTCATTGCTCTGTCATTCTCATTTTGTGTGCAGAATTTGCAATTTGGTTCCCAAGACAGCACCCTTCAGTGGATTGACAAGCTATAAGGTGTGTTGTTTTGAAGCAACTTCTAATTGGCACTGATGCTAGCTTGGACCCTATGTGTTCCAAGAGACAGTTTAGTCAATTGCAATAATTTTTACTATTCCTACATGCCATGATTGTGTGTGAAGCTCAGGTTGTTATGATGTGACAAACTTTATGCCTGTGTCAGGTTTCTGGACTGTTGTAACTTGTATATATGTTGTTTGGAATTGGATATCCGTTAGAATGGTGATGAATGGAAGTTTTGCATTTTCCAGTGCGTAGACGGAAAAAGCTATGTGAATGATGAATTCGGTTGAACATGAATTTAGTTGAATGAAACTCCTCGCTAGGTTGGAGGCACCTCAAAGGGTGTGATAGCTGACTCCAAGATTTAACGCAGCTGCATACACAAGGCAGGATTCGAATCCCTGACCTTGCTTAAGCGTAGATCAACTCCTACCGCTGAACTACACGCTTGGGATCGAATGAAACTGTAATCTAAACACACTAAGTTGAAGTTGGATCTTGTGCATTGTGCATTCTTCTTGTGAAATCAAACAATTTGAATAATTTGTTTTTCAAATTAATTAATGGGGTGAAGGCACTCCTAATTTTTATATTTATTTAAAGGTATTTAAAAATTATTAATATTTTATTGAATTATTTAATATTTTAATCCTTAAATTTTAAGGTTTTGAATTTGTAAGAATAGTTAATTTTTAATATTTTTTTTTATTTTTTAAAATTTTATGGATATAATTGTACCGGGAGGAACAAGTCAACCACGTGACACAGCACGTGACACGCCATCTCGACCACCGAGACGACAGAGACAGATCGCATTATCAAGACACAATGATTTCGGACATGTTGGCCACCGACACAATTGAAACACACGAGAACTTCTATATCACTTGTTGAACCACTGCTCCCAAATGCGTCAGCGGTCGAGATGGCCGAAGCTACAAGGCCCCTTGCGCCCAAGACTTCATGACCTCGGCCATACTAGTAACCTAACTAACCGGACTAATAACAAGAACGTCTCGGCTCGATCAGGGGCCAAGATCCGAAGGCGCGATCTTGTACAATACGTCCATGCTTAGGTCGCCCCACACTCCTCGGCTCGGTCAATGACCAAGAGAGCTAAATACCACAAATATAACGACGATCATGATTAATAAGAACAAATACATGATTAAGGCATAATCAGTCATTGAGCACCGTATTACCTAATTTGGTAAATGTTAGAGGAGGTCCACCACACGTAGGACCCATTATAACTAGTATAAATAGGTCACACAAAATGATGTGTGGTTACTGTTCATTTATTACTATCGATATTTGTGTTTGTCCTGACTTGAGCGTCGAAGTGTCTTTTGCAGATAGCTCCCCCATTGAAATATTCGATGGAAGCTCTCGTTCGGCCTTCAGACTACGTGAAGATTACGAGTATACCCTTAGACAGGTACAATAACAATTTAAAAATTATACACACAAAAATAAAATAAAAATTATTTTTATATATAGGTATAAATTATTTTTTTTTTATTAAATTACTAGCTTATCCGATTGTTTCTATGCTCAAGTGCCATATTCTTCTTAAATAATCCTATTTTTGCAAGTTCGTAGAGTTTCTTTAAATAAATTTAACACTTATAGCAAAAGAAAAAAAAATAAGGAAGTAAAATAAATCAAATTTTTATGTTAAAAAATCATGCTATCTAGTTCAAAGTTTTTGAAAAGTTCAAAAAGAGAGTTAAAAGAAAAAAAATGAGATGTATAAATTAATTTTAATTTATTAGATAAGTTTGATTCATTTTTTTTTATTTTCTTTTCTTATGAATATTTATTAAGAAGCTATACCTATTACAAGTTTTTGTGTATACAATTTTGTATTAGGTAATCAACTTAGGGTTTTGCTTATGTACACAACCAACAAATTTTGATGATCATTTTAACATAAAATCATGTGGATCAGAATCTTATGCTGTATCACAATGTGTAGTTGTATTTTCCCCTCATTTCAATATATTATCATTATAAAAGAGTCACATTTGACAAACCTTAGAAGGTTAATTTGTTTTGTATCTCGCGATTAAATTTTGATATCTAAATACTAGTGATGGGTAACGATGGATTCTAACTATGGTAGGTAAGCAATTCATAATTCTTTATATTTCATTAACTTAAAACTTGGCTCTTAAGATTGAATTATTTTCTAAATTTTATTTATTTGATAAAAAATAATCATGAAATACTAATGCTAAAGTTAAAAATAATTTTTGTATGAAATTGAAAAAATAAAAAATAATTAAACACTATCCAATATTCATCCACAAACATTCAAGTGAATTGTGAAAGCATCACATTTACCTTACGTACTAAAAAGTAGTAAAAACATCAATTTTTCCTCGTAAATTATCATCAACAATAAATTTGATTATAATTATTAGAAAAAAAATATATAGTTCTCGACTTTAATAACTATTAATCAATTTGGTCCTTAACAAAACAAGAAAAAATTTCTGTAAAAAAAATAACAACAAAAAATTAATCCTCAACTTTAACAACTATCAATTATTTCTTAAAATAGACAATCACGAATTACTTTGGTGCTCAACTTTAAAATAATTAGTTAACATGTTTCTTACATATTTAAGAAACAATTTAACTTATGATTGTTTAATTTAAGGATTAAATTAACTAATAATAACTTTTTTAGATTAAATTTAATAAAATAATAATAATAATAATAATAATAACAATAATAGAAAATTTACAAACTAAATTAATTGATAGCTGCCAAAGTTAAAACTAAATTTTCTTTTCCGTAATATTAAATTAACATGTGATGCTAATTTCAGGAATGTATTTTGATTATGTTAGAAAACAATGGTTTACATACAATAATACTAATAATATATTTTTTAGTCTTATCCCAATTACGTATTTTTATCTATCAGACTCTAAAAAATTTCATTTAAAAAATTCGATATCAATTTTAAATGATACGTTTGATTGAATGAAAAAAAAAAATAACACAAATAATCATATTCATTTTTCTGTTTAAACAAAGAACAAACATAAATAGAAATATTATTTATTTTTCTATTTAATTTTATTTTTTATCTTTCTTATGTTTCATCACTCAATCAAACATATCTTAATAACTTAATTGGTAGGAGAAAGAAAAGCGAGATAAAGAAATAAAAAATTTGAAATTTAAATTAAAAATATTTATAAAAAAAAACCATCTTTTCTCCTTTTTTTTCTCTTTTATTTTCACCTCAACCAATAAAAAAAAAGCATATCCGTATTTTATTTCTTTTTGGCCAAACATGCCATAAGAGAAAATACATTAAAAAAATCGAAGTTAGAAAAACTAGGGCGCGTTTGGGGGAAGAAATCGGAGTCTCGAAAGTCCAAACTCCAAACCCTGTTGGAGCTTGGCTTGCTCATGTCAAACCCACAACCAGAAGCTCCAATTGTGTCTCATTGGTGACCAAATCCAAAAGCTGCAATGTTTGGTGCCAGAAATCTCCACAGACATTGCTTCAAGTCCCTCTCTTCCCTCCTTCAACTTCAATCCAATCTCTCCAAGTACGTCCTTTCCCTCTATCTCTCTATTTTCCTCACAAATTCCCAAACCCCTTTTACTCTTCCCCTTCAAAGTTCCCATCTTTACCCACTAAACCTTCTCACTATTGTTATTTATTTTGATTAAGCGCAGAAGAAAAAATTATATATTTTGGTATTTTGATGCAATTTCATCAGCAATCACTCTGTGTGTGTGTTTAAGGAAAAGGGTTGATTGTGATTTTGTTTCTTGTTCAGAAATGTTGTACCTTTAGGACACACACCGGAGTGCAGCAACATTGTTAAGGTTGGAGAAGCATACCATGGAGTTGGTTTGTATTGTTATGTTAAGCGGTTGAGTCTTTTGAATGGATCGTTGTCTCGGGCAATGTCAACCTCCAAAGGAAGGAGTATGCGCAGCAAGGTGGAGAGGCGAATGCAGAAAGAGTCTGGTAAGACTTTAAGGGAGATTCGGAGAGCGAAGAAGTTGAAGAAGAAGCTTATGACTGAGGAGGAGAGGCTTATTTACAATCTCAAAAGAGTACGTTATCCAACACTTCTTCCATACATATTTTGGAGTTCAATTTGCAATCCATGCTTTTAGTTCATGTGTTGTTTTGTGCTGCAGTGAGTGTCTGAGATGTGTGATTAGATTGATGATATGGCTTGCAAGTCTTTGTGTAGACATCCTCATTAGTCAGTTATTATAGTTCCCAATGTTTTAGACTATACTAAAATGAATTCTGTTAAAAGAGAAAGTCATGCATATACATTGCTTCTATGTAAAAGTGGTAAACAGAATTGGTTCATAACATTAGATGCCTGAACATTGGCTTCTGAGTAAAATGGGGTGAGCTCAAGAGTTTTCATGATTACAGTAGTACAACTTTTAACATTTGTCTTAAAATACTGTTGATTGATTGAAAAATGAGACCCAAGATACCTGGAGGAAGTAAGGATTTATTTGAAAATAGATAAAATCTATCTTTATGTATGAAAGATAAAGAGTGTGTACTACTTAAGCTTCATGTTTATTCATTGAAGGATGTTGCAAAGTCGCCTTGATTGCAGCATCCCTAGCTCACCTTAGTTGCGGCCTCTTTGAGTGCTGCCTTAATTGCAGCCCAAGGGTGGTGGTTTAGTCCCACATCATCTAGAAAATTAGTTTAACTAAAACTTATAAAGTTTGGACAATTTTCATCTTATAAGTCAATTTTGTGGAGTTGAGTTAGGTTTTAAGACCAAATTCTAATAAATACATTGAATTTTCCTATCGGCTTTAACTAGTTTCATTTTAGTTAATTCTTTGGCTTTGATTGTTTAGTTAACAGGAAATACTGATAGTCAAGAAATGGAAAATTTCTTATCATGATAACAGATTGCACATTTGTACTGCCTGATGTATTCTTTACTTAATTTGTTTGTGGTTCTTGTTATATGAACATTTGGTTAAATTTTATTTTCCTACCTTCCAACTTGTGTAGGCCAAGAAGAAAGTGGCGTTGCTTCTACAGAAACTCAAGAAGTATGAGCTACCAGAGCTGCCTCCTCCTCGGCATGATCCAGAGCTCTTAACACCTGAACAGCTTCAGGCATTTAAAAAAGTTGGATTCAGGAATAAGAACTATGTCCCAGTTGGTGTACGTGGTGTTTTTGGAGGAGTTGTGCAAAATATGCATCTCCATTGGAAGTTTCATGAGACCGTGCAAGTTTGTTGTGATAACTTCCCCAAGGAAAAAATAAAAGAAATGGCTGCAATGCTTGCAAGATTGAGTGGTGGGATTGTGATAAATGTTCATAATGTGAAAACAATCATTATGTTCCGTGGCAGAAATTATCGCCAACCCAAAAATTTGATACCTATTAATACCCTTACAAAGAGGAAGGTAGGCTTTCATTGTTATATTCCTTATTTGATGGTACAACTTTCTGCTTCTATCTAAAAACAGGCGATGCTTTGCTGATAGTGGTTAGAGTGCCAAAGGCTTAACTTCAGAATCACGAGTCGTGATATTTGGGTGTCAATATTGTTCATTATCATGTAAAAATAATAATACTTGCCTGTCTATTGTAACTGTATTGGTAAAATTACTCCCTCTTGTACAAAAAATCTCCCTAAAAGGATGCAGGGAAGGAAGAAAAATATTTTTCTAAATCATGCAAAATGGAAGCGAGTTCAAGACAGTTAGTTAATCACTTTACAAATGTGAAATTCTTGTTTTATTGATTATGCTTCCATGATGACTTTTATGAAAATATAGCTATGGTTAGGCTCAACTGCTAAAATCTACTGCCTCTTTTTCTTTTTTTGAAAAATCATCATTTTCATTCGTAGTTATGTACCTATTATACAAAGAACTTGATATTGGAGGAGGTAATATCTTTTTTCCTGTCATTGTATGCAGGCTCTTTTCAAGGCCAGATTTGAGCAAGCTCTTGAATCTCAGAAGTTAAACATAAAGAAAATAGAACAACAGCTCCGACGGATGGGAGTAAATCCTGAGGATCCAGCTGCCATGGCCAGCATCCAAAGAGTTGCTTCCACGTTCTTCAACGCCATTGACAAGAAAGAGGGAAGCCCTTATATTTTCCGTGAAGGCAAGCAGTCAATACTTGAACCTACTGAAGCTTTTGAAGAGTCAGAGCCTGCTGTTGATAGTGATCAGGAAGAACTAGACCGGTTCATTGCAGACATAGAGGATGCGGCAGATAAAGAATATGAAGCTGAAGAGGCAAAAGAAAAAGAAGAGCTTGGCATAATTAGATACTGGAACAAAGAAGAATTTGGTGGAAGATACAGAAGATCAGATGCTTCTAGAAATGATGATCGTGATGTTGAGACTAGAGGCTCAAGGGCTTGGCAGACTATACATCCTAAGCATCTAGCTTCTGATAGTGATGATGAAGAGAACGCTCATTTTAACAATGATGACGATGAGGATAGTGATGATGAGTGGCGTTTCAATAATGTTGTAGATGCTAGTGATCTTGACAACAATTCTAATGGATCTAATGAGACTAGAGGCAGGTTCAAGGAAAGTAGGGGGCAGAGAAAGAAGCCAAATAACACCGGTATGGGTAGGAACCGAGATAGCGAAAATATAAATAGACATGCTGGAGCTAAATTTAGGAGGAATATGACCATAGAAGATTCTGAATCGGAAGGCGTGTTCAGTGATGTTGAAAATGCAATGTGGGAGTCTGATGAGGAAGAGAATAATAATGACTCAGGACATTTGAGAAAGTTCAGTGGTAACTACAAGAGTAGCAGCAGTGATGATGAGGGTACATATCAAAAAACACTGAGAGACAACAAGGGTGGTGTGAGGCATCATGAGGTTGAAGTTGATGGTTCTGCTCAATATCGTAGTAGTTTGGTTGCACCAAAGAGTGTGAGAGGGAAGCAAGGAGTTAACAAAGTTGATTCTGAATCGATGGATGAATTTAGTGGTTCAGAAAACTGGCTGTGGCCTTCAGATGCTGAGGAGGACCACGATAAGGACCACCTTACAAATCAAAATAGTAATGTGATCAAAAGTGATATCTCTAAGAGGAGAACACCAAAAGAGGCGGATGAGGCTTGGGACAGTGACTAGCCCAGCAAATGCAAGACCACAATGCAATGTGCTATTTTTGAACACTGCTTCACAAGCAGACTTGGAACAATTTGGTCCAAAGTCATGACGACATGAAGCCCAATACAGCCCTGTTTATTCAGTTCTCACACGGTGCTTCCTCTCATCTAACCATTGTCTCATGTTATCTGTTCAAGTTCTCAGGTTATTACTAGCCTCACTAGTCATATGATGGATATATGTGGCACATTCTTAGTGGAGTTTGAAGCATCAGACTTTGATAACATGCAAAAGAAATTTGTTTTTTATGGTTTTTATTTTTTTTTTATTTTATAGTGAAGGAATAGAATTTATATTTTAATAAATTGGAATTGAAAGAAATGTGGGGTTTATATTTACTTGAAGAATATAAGTCACTTTGGTCGTTGAAAGTGGTGACCGCCATCACATTAGTCCCTGAAATAAAAAAAAATATATATTAAATAAAACTCTAGAATATTATTAAATAAATAACTTTTATTATTCACAAAAAATTAAATATTGGTGATTGGTCTGAGAATTTTTAGTATTAATAGTGTTTATAAAACTATTTTATCTAAACTATTTTGAAAACTAAATTATAAAAAATTTAAGTAATTTTTATAAAAAAACTTAACTAAACTATATTTAAAGTTCAGTTTAAAAAACAAAACTACTACAAAATGCAGTTTAGTGCCCTGTAGTTAAAAAAAAATTGTTATAATGATTTTTGCATAATTGTTATATTCAATTTGCATAAAATGGTTTTTATTATAAATAAGACATTAACATGAATAATTAAAATATAATATTTTTAATAATTATCTGATAAGTTATATTTACAAGGATTTTAAATTGATTTGACTATATAAATAATATATTAAAATTAAATATTCTTTTAAAACACATTAACTATGAATTAAATTATTTAACACTTTATAAAATTCTTACAGTAATTTTAAATCATGTATTTTGTTTTAATTTGTCTTTTTTATATATGATTCGTCTTTATTGTTTTTAATTAAATATAAAGGAAAAATATATATTTTGTAAAGATAATTTGTTTTTCTCTCTAAATATTTAACATAACTATATATTTATGTATAACTTAAATTCGAGAGATTTGATGAAGTTAAAACAAATTCCTTACTAGTTGGTAGGACTATTCAAAACTTGTTTCAAATTAAATTATTAAAACTCTAAATTGAACTAGATTATAAAAAATACTCAACTATTTAAAAAAACAAATTAAACTTAAGTTTAGTTTCAAAAACTAAATTACTATAAAAATAAATTATGTTTGGCCCAAATCACTAGAAAAAATTGATTTAGAATACAAAAATAGTTTAATTCGGTAGGAAGTATAATTGAAATAAATGGAATATCGATTAGTGATTCCATAATTAGTACTTATGTAAATTTGAACTATTTTATTTTAAATTTTGATAAATGATTTTGGCTGACTATTCACTTAGAATATTTTAATTTTTCCAAATTGAACTATGTTAGACATATTTTAGTTTATTAGTATAAGCTTGAAAATAAGAGTTAATTTGAAATATTCTTTTATAATGTAGTTTAGTTAAATTTATAGTAAAAGAAAGTTTAACTCAATTTAAATTATAATATAGTTTGAGCTTTTACAACTATAATTCACTAAATTAGAAAATAATTTAATTTGATTATTTAAACTACTTTATAATTTAGTTAAATTTAGATGAATTATTTTTATAATTTAATTTAATTAACAAGTAGTTTAGTTTAATTCAACCCTTTTGAACATCCTTACCCAACATATTATTGGCATGGCTCTTTGCCTTAATTATAGATTATAAAAAAATGATAGATAAGTTCTCAAATTTTACTATTTACAATTATTTTGGTTAAGGGTGTGTAAAAACTATTTAGTTAACTAAACTAATTTTATAAAGTAATTTGGATTGATTCTTTAAAAGAATTGAATCATAAGAATATAAGGTATATTATTTTTTTCTGAATAAATACAAAGTAGATAATATAATTGAAATAAATCAAACCATTCTAAAAAAAAAAAAAAAAAAATTGAACCGGCTTTGAAATAAATCAAACCATTTCACTATATAAAAAATATTTGATTAATTAAACCGTTTTTATAAAATAGTCCAGTTTAGTCCGTGCACAATCCTAATTTTTGTTTATGAATGTATATTAATATCATTATTTTAGTCACTTTTTTTTAATTAATTTTATTTTTAATAATTTATTTGACATTTTATTAATTTTTAAAAAATAATATCTTTCAAAATCAATGACAAAAATATATTTAAAATGCAGACAACAGGTTGGGCGGGTCTTAGACGCTTTGAATGAAAAGGCACACTAAACGTAATTGACGAGTCAATGAAGAATAATATGCATCTTATTTTCCTTTTTGCATTATTTTTCAACCTCAAGAATGCTCCTAATAAAGACGCAATGTTACTTGTCACACACCAATGCTGCAGATTTTATAGAAAGCTAACAAGTCTACTCTATCTGCCACACAAATATGTTCTCATTTAACTCCATTTAATTTACATGCCGTATACATTTCGTTTTTCAAATTTTTGGATAGAAAATGAAAATTTCAGAATTTTAAATAAAAGAGAGGCTAAATTTTCATAATTTTGAAAATAAAAGGCTAAAAACTTATTTTGGTCCCTTATAATAAATGTTTGTTTCAATTTAGTTTCACTTTTATTTTTTGTCTTAATTTGGTCTCTAATAAATTAATTGGTTGTAATGTAAGACTTCCGTCTAAATTATTTAAACGGAGTTAACCGTTGATCACGTAGATATCACGTAGATGCATAGGTGGATGCCACGTGGATGCCAAATATCTTGAAAATACCTGGAACCAGAACGGCCCGTTCTGGGTGCACACTTGGTGTGTTAATTTTGCATCTGAAACGGGTCGTTCCAAATGCAAAATTAACACACCACGAGTACATAAAAACAACTCGTTCTAAAACCAGAACGGACTGTTCTGATTTCAGAACAGCCCGTTCCAGAACTATAATAATTTTGAAAAATATTTTTTTATGGTAAAAATTTTAAAATTACTTATTTTTATAAAATACAATTTTCTCATAAATAGAGTGATAACTTTTCCTTTTTCTCTTTCTGTCTGAAGAAATATTTAAGTATCACTTAAGAATTTTTGCAACTTATTTAAAATTAGAGGAATAAAATGATAAAAATTAATAGGATAAACATAATAAAATTATTAATTTGTTTTCTTTTAGTGTCCTCTAAATTTTTACACTCATTTAAAAAAAATATTTTATATGTTATTTTGAATTAATTTAACGAAGTATCATATGATTTTTAATTTTTTAAAATTTTTTATAAATTTGATCTATACATGAAAAGCTTTTTAACTTAACAATTAAATTTTTAAAAATTTGATATAGAACATTAATTATTAAGTAAAATAAATCTATCAAGACTTAATCTTGAAGTAAGTAAATTTTTTCTTCATTAAAAATGAAGATAATTTTACCACAAAATAAAAA